GCGACGTGTCGCCAACCTTCCCCGTCCACAGCAGTGTGGGAGAGGTCTCCGGCAAGGAGACACGGGGCCAAAGGTTGAGCTGATGCGCGGCGTACCGGACCGCAAACGGCCACAGAAAATGGGGGGCAGCCGCATGGATCATGGAGGTACGAGCGACCTCCATGACTAAGCCAATGCGACGCTCAGCAACCCCATTCTGCTGCGGAGAGGCCGGAAGCGTGAAAGTCTGGCGGATGCCGTGCTCCGCACAGAAGGCTGCCAAGAGGTCTGAGGAGAACTCACCACCTCTGTCAGAGTGCAGACGCAGGACAAGAAAGTCCGACTGGAACCGCTCGCGGAGCTGGAGACGAGTAGCGCGGATCCAGGGGATCAAAACATCAGGGACATCCCCCTTGCGCTGCAAGGGGAAGACCGTGGTGTAGCGCGTGTAGTCGTCGACAACCAGCAGGAAGTACCGCTCGTGGCCCTGTCCACGGACGCGGGCTGGGCCCCACACGTCCAGGTGGAGAGTCTGCAGTGGAGCCTATGTGGGAGGGAACGAGGAGGAGTGAGGAGCGGCGCGCTGCCGCCCCTCGACGCAGGGAATGCAGGGCGGCGCAGGCGAGGGAGGGAGGGGAGGCAGAGACCTGGGAAGACCAGAAACCAGGAAGCGGGAGTGCATGCTGCGTAGGCGAGGCAGGGAGGGGTGACCAAGGCGGAGGTGCCACAGGAGAGTGTCGTGCGACAGCCGGCGACACTCACACTGTGTAGAAACATGAGCAGACGCGTGCAACCGGGGAGACAAAGGGGCGGAGCGTGACACAGTGGTGAGGGTGTACAGACTGGACCCTGGCGCACGAGCGAACGTGGCCAGGTGGCGACCAGTCTGGGAGCACGTGCAAATCGCCACACGCTGCCGGCCAGGGGTGAAGGTGTCAACCCCCGCATCCTGGAGGACAGCGTTACTCACCAAGTTCGTAGAGAACGAGGGGAGGTGGAGACCAGACAGCTCACCAGACGGGACCGCCGGACACGGAAGCACAATGGAAGACCGTGCAAGCACTGGGCCCCCAGAGGGGTTAGCCAGTGAGACAGGAACAGGTGCAGGGAGGGGAGTGACTGTGGTACTGTCGCGAAAGAAACAGCGGGAAGCACCAGAGTCAAGTGTAAAGGTGTGCAAAGCCTGTGCAGGCGCTGTCAACATATATTTTATATGTGTTGTTTAGGTTAGTCTAGGTGTTACGTTTCTACTTACTTGCATGATTAGGGTTTGCTATATCTAGGGTTGTACTTCACATTTTCTATCAATTCATTCTTATCGTAACAGGCGCAGTACCAAGGGGAGCAGACTCACAAGCACCTAGTGCTGCAGGGGCTATACCAGGGGCTATACCAGGATCCGGCGGCACACACAAGTAGCAGTCACCCTCAGCACTAACAGACAAGGCATACATAGCAGCAAGAATTGCCTCATAGTCAAGATCAAAGATAGGTACATCACGCCTAAGTAAGTCTGCCCAGTTGGGGAACTCAGTAGCATCAGGAAACTTGGCGCGCCAGGCGTCGCTAAGCCGAGCGAAGCAGCGCTGCTCAGTGTGAAAACCTGTGCACTGGCGACCAGCGCGGGAACCTGTGCGGATGATATAGGGGCAGCGACCAGGACCCCCAGAAGCCCCACGCCCCGCATACCAGTCAAGAAGTTGCTGGGAAGTGGGGGTCTGGCGCTGACGCTGATGCTGCTGCTGCTGCTGCTGCGGCTGCTGCTGGCCCTGACCACCAATGCCACTACCGCTCCCTCCTCCCCCACCGCCGCTGCTGCCGCCTCCACCGCTCCCAGTGCCTCCGCCGCCCCCACCACCACCTCCACCGCCTCCACCCCCACGACCACCCCCACCACCTCCACCTCCCCCGCCGCCTACACCACCGCCACCTCCACCGCCACCCCCACCGCCCCTGCCACCCCTGCCGCCCCTGTCGCTGCGACACTTCCTACGAGGAGCGGAAGCCGCTCCGACACCCTCAGCACCAAGGTAGTCGTGAGCAGCAGCTGCGGAGGCGTAGGAGGGGGTGAGAGGGGAGGGGGAGCACCCCTCAAAGAGGGGAGAGCGAGGAGTGCCACGAGCAGCACCTACAGCGAGGATGTTCTTCTCTGCTGCGAGGAGGTGCTTCTCGAAGTCGTCTACAGTGAGAGTGGTGGGGTCTAGCGCTAGGAAGTGGTCCCTGACAGAGCTAAGAGTGTCAGGGAGGCGTGTGACGAGGAAATAGAGAGTGAAGTACATCGAGGGGGGGGGGGGGGGGGGGGGGGGGGGGGGGGGGGTTTGCGGCGCAGAACTCGGCTGAAAGGGCGGCACGGAAGCGAGAGTCAGTAGCGCGCAGGTGAGAAACTAGGTCCTCAGCAGTGGTGAACGAGGAAAGATCGGGGAACAGGTACGGTAGCATGAGTCGACCTATGGCTGCAGTGGCCGGGGAGGAGTAGCGCGCAACTACAGCGTCGTACAGTGTCTTAGCAGTTCTGTGCTGGCTGAAATGCGCTTGCTCAGTAATCGGCAGGTGGTTCCTAATAGCTAGGCATGCAGCAGCATCACGAGTCTGCCACTGAGAGCGTTCTAGAGCAGGAGCATCAGCAGCAGGAGTAACGGCAGTGCCAGAGACGTAATCAAACAAGGAAACGCCATCTTTGGCATCAGTCAGAAGGAACAGGTGGAGATCGTCTAACCATACAGTGAACTCGATGGGACGACCGTCAGGCTCGAACGCTAGAACGTTAGGCGTCGCCATATTGGCTTAAGGCAGGAGGCAGCAGGCAGCAGGCAGAGGCAGCAGGCACCAGGTAGGAGGCAGGAGGCAGAGGCAGGAGGCAGGGGGAGCAAGCAGCAGGCAGGCAGCAGGCAAGTTGCAGGCAGGCGGCAGCAGGCAGCAAGCAGGCAGGCAGGCAGGCGGCAGGCAGGCGGCAGCAGGCAGCAAGTAGCAGGCAGGCAGCAGGCAGGCTGCAGGCAGGCGGCAGCAGGCAGCAAGCAGGTAGGCAGGCAGGCTGCAGGCAGCAAGCAGGCAGGCGGCAGCAGGCAGGCAGCAGGCAGGCTGCAGGCAGGCGGCAGGCAGGCGGCAGCAGGCAGCAAGTAGTAGGCAGGCAGCAGGCAGCAAGTAGCAGGCAGGCAGCAGGCAGGCAGCAGGCAGGCTGCAGGCAGGGGGCAGCAGGCAGCAAGCAGCAGGCAGGCAGCAGGCAGGCAGCAGGCAGGCAGCAGGCAGGCAGCAGGCAGGCTGCAGGCAGGCGGCAGCAGGCAACAAGCAGGCAGGCGACAGCAGGCAGCAAGTAGCAGGCAGGCAGCAGGCAGCAGGCAGGAGCGGCCTGAGGGCTGCGTGAGGCTGCTTGCTGCACGAGGCTGCAGGCTGTGCGTGGCTACGGGCAGCGCGCGCGGCCGCAGGCTGCGTGCGGCGACGGACTGCGCGGGCTGCGGGCTGCGTGCAGCTGCGGGCTGTGCGTGGCGACAGGCAGCGTGCGCGGCTGCAATCTGTGTGCGGCGACGGGCTGCGCTGGGCGACGGGCCGCACGTGCGCGGCTGCGGACGGTCGCTAAGCCGCGGGCTACGCTGGGCGACGGGCCGCCATGGGCGACGGGCTACGCTGGGCGACGGGCCGCGCTGGGCGACGGGCTACGCTGGGCGACGGCTTAAGGGGCGCACAGGCGGGGCCGAAACTAGCTACGAGGGCATTGAAACGGCGCACTTGGGGAAAAAAAAAAAAAAGGACCGCCCGATGGCGCGCACGGGCAGCCGAGGCGCGCATAGGCACTAGACAAAACAGGCAATCGTGGTGATCCCTAATCCTAGGTCCTAAGGACCTATGCTCTATACCATGTTAGAATCGTAGGCAAAAAATTGTGTCGACTATCGAGAGAAAAATGGTACAAAGAAGAAACCTAAGGGGTTGTACCCCACAGTGAGCAACCCACTAAGCCTACCCAAACTATAAAATGTATAAACATATGTTTGACACGGGCGGCCGAGGCGCGCGTAGGCAGGCAGGCGTGGTGGGCCCTAATCCTAGGTCATAAGGACCTATGCTCTATATACCATGTCATAATCGTAGGATGAAGTGATGTCGACTATCGAGAGGGTTGGTACAAAGAAAATCAACCTAAGGGGTTGTACCCCACAGTGTGTACCCCACTAAGCCTACCCAAACTATAACATAGATATACATATGTTTGACAGGGCGCACGCTAGGCTAGGGCGCGGGCTGAGCGTGGGCTCGCGCTAGGTTAGGGCGCGGGCTCTAGTGTCGCGTAGAAACGGGCTAGGAGGGAGGGCGGAACCTAGAGCGTGAGGCGCCACGGACGGAGCGAGCTAGGCTAGGTGAGGTTAGGAGGGTACATACTCATGATACCATCTTAGAAGTAGAAGCAACGGAATGTTTGCATTAGGGTTGAGAAGCAATACAAGTAGCAACCCTAACTGAGTTGTACTCTCTAAGGATTACCTCACTGCAGCATATAACAATTATATGCATTTGACAGGGTCCTTTACTTCGCCTGTAAACAGTCTGTGCACTACACAGACAAGATGGAAGTAGCTGTTTCCGTCCGGAAATGAGGCTGTTGCTGCTGCTAAGTAGGAGTACAAGTTGTTTGTTTGTTTTATTTTTTCTTCTTTTGGTATGTCCAGAGCAGCTGAGTTGAGCAAATAAGTCACACATCAACGTGAATTCGTTTTGCTTGTTTTTGCATTTTGCATTCGTTTTGCTTGTTTTTTACTTGCGCATATGATATTGGTCGAGTCTCCACATTTCTTCTCAAACGAAAATCGTCGTAAGCATGTGCAAATGCGTCGCTCCAAAGTTTACGACATGCAAGTAATTTACATCCAGTGCCAAATTCACATCGTGAAGCATGTCCAACTCGTGCAAAGCAAGTCCAACTCACGCAAAGCAAGCCCAACTCACGCAAAGCAAATGCCTTAGACCATGTCCCTGCTATGGCGGCAATAACAACATGGGAAAAAAGAAGAAGCGAAAAACAGAGAATTTCAGGGGACGAGAGAAGAGAAAGATAGTGCAACAGAAACGAGGACGCGAAAGGAGAGATGCGTGAGCAAAATCCGCGGAGGGATAGGGAGATGGGAGGGGCATTGGGGTTGGTGAGATGAGGTGGAGCGAGGGCAACGGAAAGGGAGGGGAGAGAGCGAGGGCGACGGAAAGGAGGGGAGAAAGCGAGGGCAACGGAAAGGGAGGGGAGAACGTGAGGGCGACGGAAAGGGAGGGGAGAGAGCTAGGGCGACGGAAAGGGAGGGGAGAGAGCGAGGGAACGGGAACAAGGACCTGAAGAGGGATCGACGGGAGGGGAGGGCTGGGGGAAGTACTTTGAGCGGAAGGAAGGGGGGATAGCAAGATCGATATTACTACGAGATGGTTGGGGATTTCGCGAGGGCGTCTGAACGGGAGGGCGTTCGTAACGAACGACGGGACGAGCGACGGTACGTGCGATTGGACGGACGACGGGACGAGCGACAGTACGAGCAATGGGGCGCCGACACAGAGGGTGACGGGAGTGCGTTGGGAAGTCGATTGCGATGGGACGCGAGGGCGGCGGGAGGCGGAAGAAGAAGGGCGAGGGGAGTGAGGAAGGGCAATGGGAGAGAAGAAGGGCAACGAGAGAGGAAGGCGACGAGAGAGGAAAGGCGACGAGAGAGGGGGAAGGCGACGGGAGAGAGGAAGGCGACGGGAGAGAGGAAAGGCGATAACAGAGAGGAAGGCGACGGGAGAGAGGAAAGGCGACGGGAGAGAGGAAGGCGACGGGAGAGAGGAAAGGTGATAAGAGAGAGGAAGGCGACGGGAGAGAGGAAAGGCGACGGGAGGGAGGAAGGCGACGGGAGAGAGGAAAGGCGACGGGAGAGAGGAAGGCGACGGGGGAGAGGAAAGGCGACGAGAGAGAGGAAAGGCGACGGGAGAGAGGAAAGGCGACAGGCGAGAGGAAGGCGACGAGAGAGAGGAAGGGCGACGGGAGAGAGGAAGGCGACGTGAGAGCGGAAAGGCGATGGGAGAGAGGAAGGGCGACGGGAGAGAGGAGGGCGATGGGAGGGCGTTTTGTTGCGAGCGTGATGGCGACGTTGCAAAGAGTGACGCAGCGACAGCAGAGCGAGGCCGATTGTGACGGGAAATGTGACGATTGCGCGATATGCGAAAAAAACAAACATTTCGCTAATACAACGAAATTATTAGGCATCCAAGTTAAAACATAATCTACGCGCCTAGGCAGAAAATGTCTAAGTTCTCAGCTATTCTATGCTAGGCTGAAAAATAGAGTCTTCGGGAGTAGAAACTAGCTAGTAGTGAACCCAGCTGTTGACCTTAAAGCGACGGTGCACATTTGCCACCCAAAACCCAGAACCCTGGCGAACTGTTACTGCGGATGGAAAGTGTCCGCACGAAATCCTGGTTTTCGCCAGCCAGCACTTTCGCGCTGGCAAGCCTGGTTCAAAAAAAAAACTTCTGAACCCAACACTGCCAAAAGTTGCCCGTCGCTTTAATCCGCCTACCCACTTATTTATACGCCTCGCTAGGTATTGAGGTAGGAATATATCCACTCCCAGATTAGCAGTGCGAAACCCCCTTCTGGGGGGCTGGTAGAACTCGCCAGCACTGGAGTTTGAATCTGGAACCTCATCCTTCAGAAGTCCCATTCTACTTGACTGGGCCACTTAAAACCCGCAGCCTGAATTACAAGAAAAGTTGGGAGGTGTTAACACTTTCCCTCCCGAACCAGTGTGGTTACCAGGTTTTCACCTGCAAAACGTGAAAGAAGTCGCAGGCAGCGCAGGGAAGGGTCGCTCGGTTCCTGGGCTGAGGTGTGCACACCAAACTGGAAATATGTAATTCAGGTCGTTCGAAACTGCCTAGTCTGAGCAGCTAGAGCGACAGCCATAGCATAGAACATCTAGCATTCTACCCCATTCCAGCGCATGGCGGAAAATTCCTCCTTAGGACGTTAGGACCATGCCTTCATTCTTCCAATCCGTCTCTAAAGCGCCCCGCGGTTCTAGGTCACGTTTCCACTCGACATAGCTAGCCGGGGCCATGGTTGCACATATGCCCGTCGTCGCCCTGGTTTCACTTCCACACCGCCCACCGCACCAATGTCGCCTATCTTCATAGCCGCGACGTCCTCTCTATCCGCCGCGTAGGTTTCATCCACCTGCTTCGCCGCATCGCTTCTTCTCCCCGACGTCCACACTCGGACCCCTTCCGGAACACACACGCGATCCCCTCCATCCCTCACGCTTCTTCCCTCGAACGAGCACGCTCCCTTCCCTCCCATCTCCTTCACGCAAAAACCCTCTGTTGCGCACGCGAACATCCCTCCGTCGCGGATGATAACGCCTTCCCGTCGCACACAGGCACTCCCCTCGAACGGTCACGCACACTCCCTTTCGTCGCCGGCGCGCACTCCCTTCCGTCGCCCACGCTCAAGCCCTTCCCGTCGCCCACGCTCACTCCCTTCCCATCGCGATCGCGGGGGGAAATCGTACCGTCGCCCACGATCATTCACTTCCGTCGCCCACGCTCACCCCCATTCCATCGCCTTCGCGCAATCCTTCGGTCGCACACGCTCACCCCCGCTCGTCGCCACGGCCTATTCCTTCCCGCATCTCCGCCTCACCCCGTCTCCTCCTCACCCCAGCTCCGTCCGCGCGCACTCCCTCCCGTTGCGCGCGACAACTCCCCTTCCGCCGCCCACGCTCTCTCCCTCCCGCCACGTTCTCTCGCTTCCCTCCTGTCGCGACAGTCCCCTCCGTCGCCCACGCTCACTCCTCCCCACCACGCACGCTCTCCCCCCATCCATCGCCCACGCTCACTGCCCGTACTCCGCACACGCTCACTTCCCTCCGTCGCCCAGGCTCACCCCCTGCCCCTCGCCTTCTCTCATTCCCCTCCGTCGCCTATGCTCCATCCCCATCCCTTCCCTCCCCATCCCTCATCTCCCCATCCCTTCCCTCCCTATCCCTCATCTCCCCATCCCTTCCCTCCCCATCCCTCATCTCCCCATCCCGTCCCTCCCCATCCCTCACCTCCCCATCCCCGCCTCCCCATCCCTTCCCTCTCCATCCCTTCCCTCCCCATCCCTCACCTCCCAGTCTCTCAACTTACCGTCCCTCTTCTCCCCATCCCTCTTCTCCCCATCCCTCTTCTCCCCATCCCTTCCCTCTCCATCCCTCACCTCACCATTCCGTTTCAACCCATTCCGCCCCACCCCATTCCGCCCCACCCCATTCCGCCCCACCCCATTCCGCCCCACCCCATTCCGCCCCATCCCATTCCGCCTCACCCCATTCCGCCCCACCCCAATCCGCCCCACCCCAATCCGCCCCACCCCATTCCGCCCCACCCCATTCCGCCCCACCCCCATCTCCTCCTCACCCCATCTCCTCCTCACCCCTCATCCGTTGTGCTTTTCGGCACTAAGAAGCTTTTTGGGGAGGGGAGATGCGGTTCCGCCCCACCCCACTCCGCTCTCCCCCATCTCCGCCCCACCCCACTACGCTCTCCCCCATCTCCGCCCCACCCCACTACGCTCTCCCCCATCTCCGCCCCACCCCACTACGCTCTCCCCCATCTCCGCCCCACCCCACTCCGCTCTCCCCCATCTCCGCCCCACCCCACTCCGCTCTCCCCCATCTTCGCCCCACCCCACTCCGCCCTGGCCCACTCCGCCCCACCCCATCTCAAGGTCACCCCATTCCGCCCCACCCTTCAAAATCACCCCATTCCGCCCCACCCATCTCTGCCCCACCCATCTCCACCCCAACCCATCTCTGCCTCTCGTTTGTCTCCTACCATAATAATAATCCGTGAGTGTCTCTTTATTTCTTCCTCTTCGCAGGTGCCGGTTTGTCAGTGTCAGTGCCCACCCTTTTGTATGCGTTCTGCTTCAGCCACGAGCATCTGATTTTCACAACTGGGTTTGTACAGGTCCCCCCCCCCCCCCCTATGCATTTGGTTCAGGAATGTTGGTTGTTGGTAGTACTACTACTAGGTATGACAAATAGACATGCCAATGTTGGATATTTAGTATTATATACTAAATTTTGATCCACAGAGGTATGAGACTGTAGACCACTTACAATGTGCATCAATCTAGTAAAAAAGAACAAGCTAGTCCATGTGATGTCTTGTCCAACTCTTGTCTGCACATACAGCAGCAAAAAACCAGGACTTGTGGTTCCCTCCCAACAGCTGGTGCTGGGCACCAACACACTGCATGGGTAAAGGGTTGAATAGGGGAGTGAGCAGGAAAGAACAGAATGAGCAGGGAAAAACAGAGTGCAGGGGAGACAGTGAGCAGAGGTAAAATAATTGAGCAGGGGGAAAGAGAGAGAACATGTTGAAAGGGAGTGAGCAGGTGGGAAGATAGTGAGCAGGGAGAAACATAGTGAGCAAGGGGAAGAGAGCGAGCAGGGGAAAACAGAACGAGCAGCAAGGGGAAGAGAATGAGCAGTGGAGGAAGAGAGTGAGCAGGGGAGAATAGAAAAAACAGGGGGGAAGAGAGGAAACAGAGCGAGCAAGGGGGAAACAGAGTGAGGAGCGGGAAGGGAGCGAGCAGGGAGAAACATAGTGAGAGCAGCCCTGTCCGTGCTGCACTCGCCGAACAGCGCCACCACGCTGGCCGCTGCCTGGCGTGCACTGATGGCATGCGCCTTGCGCACGTCGAGGGTGTGAGAGAGGCGAGGAGTGTGAGAGAGGCGAGGAGTGTGAGAGAGGCGGGGAGTGTGAGAGAGGCGAGGAGGAGTGTGAGAGAGGCGAGGAGTGTGAGAGAGGCGGGGAGTGTGAGAGAGGCGAGGAGTGTGAGAGTGGCGAGGAGTGTGAGAGAGGCGAGGAGTGTGAGAGAGGCGAGGAGTGTGAGAGAGGCGAGGAGTGGCGGAGGAGGATTGGGTTAGAAGGGGAGGAATTGCAGGGAAGGCGTGAGAAAAAATACCATGGAAGTTCAAAGGTAGGGAAAGGGAAATGAAGTTGTTCGAGGGGAAAAGAGGCGATGAGGGTTGAGAGTGGGAATGGAAAGCAGGGGCTTATGAGGAAGGGTGCGTGGGGAGGCGTGGCGAGTGTGAGAGGGCGGGCGGACGTCGTGATGAGGCCCGCAGGCGAGCGCGGAGTGAGCAAGGGGATGAGGGTGGGCATGGGGAAAGGGAGTGAACAGGGGGGAACACCACGAACTGGGGGGAAGAGGGTGAGCAGGGGGAAACAGAATGAGCAAGGGGGAAACAGAATGAGCAAGGGGGAAACAGAATGAGCAAGGGGGAAACAGAATGAGCAAGGGGGAAGAGAGTGATCAGGGGGGGGGGAGGGAGTGAACAGGGGGGAACAGAGTGAAGGGAGGAAGGGGAGTAATTGTTTCGCATGAGTGTACGTGGGTGAGAGTGAAGCTTTGGGTGGGGAAAAAAAGAGGTGGTAAACCAGGGCACTGGGAAGGGTAGAGAAGGCGGCGGGGCGGGAAACCAGGGCGTCGGCGCGAGGGAGGGGAATGGGCATGGGCGACGGAGGAAGGAAGCGAGGGCGAAGAAGAGGGGACGCTCGACGAAGACGTCAGCGGCGGGAATGAGAACAATGTTGACGCAGCGACAGGTGGGAGAGGAGAGGTCGACTCGGCGAGCGATGGGGAGGGAAAACGAGGGCGACGGGAGGGGGAAAGCGAGGGCGACGGGAGGGGGAAAGCGAGGCCGACGGAAGGGGGAAAGCGAGGTCGACGGGAGGGGGAAAGCGAGGTGGACGGGAGGGGGAAAGCGAGGTCGACGGGAGGGGGAAAGCGAGGTCGACGGGAGGGGGAGGCGGCGATGGCGACCCGCGAGGCGAGGGTGGTAGGCGGGGAAGATGCGGTACGCGACGGGCGGGGGAAGCGAGGGCGGCGGGTATGGGAAGCGAGGGCAACGGGAGGGGAGAAGCGAGGGCGGGCGGAGGAAGCAAAGGCGACGGGCAGGGAGGAGGCGAGGCGACGGGCGGGGAGGAGGTGGTGCGCGGGAAGAGCGAGGGCGACGGGCGGGGGAAGCGAGGTGGGCAAATCGCTAATATCTCCCGTGCCATCTCGTTTCTACGTGCGTCACACTCGCAGCCAGCGCCTACGATTCACTTCGATTGCATGACCGCGCTTCATCTTCTATTCGATCGTCCCTAAATTGTGTTCACTTGATATGCCTGGCTGGTGAGCGCGATGCTTGGATCCTAAAAAGCTTGTCTGAGTTGTTCGCTTGTTCTGTCGCACAGGTTTTTACCCTGCTCTAGCTCTCTGGGGTTGTAAGCAGAATGTATGCGAACTGTTGGGTTGCGTTGGCTGATAATGCCTCGTTGACTCACGGGAGAGTCGCATCATGTTTCGCTAACTTTTTTGCTTTCGCAATTCTGCCGCACCTCATATTGCCCGAACCCCAAACCTACCAAACCAAGCGTTGACTCAGTTTTTGTAATTCAGGCTTCGGGTTTTAAGGATAAAGCTGGATCCGAACAGGTTGGTTGAAACAGTGTTCTCGCTCGCTTCAACGGGCTTCAAGTTGGGATGGGGATCACTATTTTAGCTGCTGCCATTCCATCTTCTTTTCAATCTGGTCTACCTATAGTGGTACATTTACAGTACTTGTTTATCCAACCATTCCTCATCCACTATTACCGCCGGGACTGTAGACGGTACACACCCCCCTCCCCAAATACAAACCCCCGGGTCTACAATACGGGTTTGGGGCCATGCATTTCCGATGTAGCCTGGAGCATTCCTCACATTACAAATCATGACATGCAAAAACGCTAGTCATGTCTTGCAGAAATGCATGTCACACCATGCAAATATTAATCAAGTTATGCAGTCACAATTTCACTGCAGCATTCATGTGGCATGGCAACAGTACTTGGGCTCTTCAATTCCTTGGATATCCTTCTCCCAGCCTGCACCCCTTTCCCTATCTGCTTGCCGCCTATTTCGTCGGCTCCTGCTTTGCTTGCTCCTGCTGCAGGTGCCGGGCAAAGGTCTCCGCTACGAGCAAGGGGAAGGCAATGGTGGCATCGCAGAACACCTGGTGGCAGAGGGGACGATGGGCGCAAGGAAGAAATGCGAGGTGTGGGGAGGGGGCATGGCAAAAGTTATTTCAAACAGCAGAGGGGTTCAATGCAGGGGTGGTGCGTCAATAGGACGGAAGGCACTTGGAGCAGCAGAAAGGAATGCGGCGCTTGAGTTTGGCACCGACTGTGACTCAGGTTGATGGCGCCTTCACCCACTGCGTCTCTAACCTTTCCCCAACTGGCAGCTCCGGAAACTGCGCCCACAAATAAGTACTATCACGCTCACTAGCAAAACTCTTCCCTGTTGGTGTGCGTGGTGGCATGCCCCTCCGTGCGCATCGCAGACTGACCTTGACAGCCTTGGCCTCCACGCGGATCTTCCCCCAGCTGACTGCTTCATCGGGCCTGGCACCCGAGTCGCTGCCGTCGAACTCATTGGCGGTGTTGATGTACACAGCGTAGTCCGCGCCGTTGCGCATCATGTTGGCGTTGCAGATGTGGTGCTTCGGCAGCCCGCCCCCCAGGATGATCACGCCCGTGCGCCGCGGGTCTGCCTGCACCGCCTCGTCATCCATCCGCCGCACATCTGCGCGGAGGGGAACATGTACTTGGCGGTAGGTTGAAGAGCGATGAGGGAACTGCAAAGAGGGAAGCGGAGACTGGAGGGAGGAGGAAAGGGGATGGGGTGGGGGGAGGAAGCGCATAACCTGGAAATGCAGAAACAAGGAATGCAGAATTCCCGTAACAGGGAAGAGGAGACGGGGAGGGGAAAAGCGATGCAATGCATGGGCGCGGCAGCACCGCGTCGAAGAGGCACAGCAGCAGCAAGCCCAGCAGGTGCAGCGACGCGCTGACCTTGCACGAGGTCGAGCACGAGGCCGGGCGAGGAGTAGGAGTGGAAGTAGAGCATGTCGCCGATGGACCCGTCCGTGATCGCCGGACAAAACACCGGGATGCGGTTCTGCACGGTGCAGATGGGCGGTGGGGGAGCACGCAGGGAAACAGCGAGGATGGCGGGAGTGTGCGCACGGGAATGGCGCATGAGGCTGAGGCTGGGGAAACGCTATTCAAGAGGAGATGCTCATGTGCGTGCAAGGGAGCGCGAGGGTGTGAGGCTGGGGGAGATCAAGGGAACATGCGCGTGTGTGAGGAGGGGCAGGTGTGCGAGGGGACGGGGACAAGAATGAAAATGTGGGTGAGGAGGATGTGCGGCGATGACGGACCTTGTGCGCCCAGTACAGCACCGACTCCTCGTGCCCGATGGCTTCTCCCATGCGGTCGATCAGCTTCGACGGCGTCCACACCACGCCCTGGTGGTGCACCACGCAACGCAAGCACAACGTAGGGAAACAAAGGGGAATTCTTAGGCGGCTCGAAAAGCAGAGTATCGACTGCGCAGTCTGTCATGTGTGTGGAAGTGGCACCAGCTGGTCGTCAGTATGGTTACGCGTATATTGCTACTTTGGTTCCCCACATCACGTCAATTGTTTTTCTCCCCTCCAATCCCCCCCTGTCGCTCCGCTCACCTGCGTCTTCTGCTCGTCCAAGCAGCGGTCCAGCACGGGGCCCATCCAGTCTTCGAACAGGCAGTAGTTGCTGTTGGGCACGATCAGGTTGCCGATGCGGTTCAGCCCCTTGGCGCGCAGGTCCTTGCCCGCCAGGGCGAAGTCGCCCAGCAGCGTGGGCGCCAGGCACTTTATAATGTCCTCTTCAATCCCCCCCGCTGTAGTCACAATCACATCCACCTGAGAGCGTGGCCGGATTGGAAGAATGCATTCACAATGAACTGAGAATTCCATAAAAACGCGACTCCAGTCGACGTCAGCAAACAAGAAAACCACCAATGCAGGAGCATGGGGAGCCGAAGGTAGGGTCCGTCGTTTCCGTGCGTCGTTCCCGCGTGTGCTGGGGCTGGCGACTCACGAGTCGGTGCTTGGCGAGGAAGCAGAGCGTCTCGCGCAGGCCGGAGCTGATGAGGTTGGACGTGAAGCCCAGGAAGATCTTGCACCGCACGCCCGCGCGGAACGCCGGGTCCTTCTCCTCCTCCTTCGCGTCGGCCTTCACCGGGTCGTCGCTCAGTCGCCACGCGAGCTACAAGGGATGACGGATGACAGACGAGGAACAGGTGTGTGGGACAGAGGTTTCGCGAGAGAGGGCAATCGAAGGCAGCGGGGAGGGGGCTCTCCTCCTCGCGTGGCTTGGAAGGGTTGCCGCACAACCGCCATGCGAGCTGGGGAGAGAACAGGAGTAACGGCCCGAGATGGGTGTGGGATATGAAATGGCAGCGGAAGGGAGGGCACGGAAAGTAGGAATCACCCTCCTCCGCGTCGCCGCCGGCGGCAATCATATGAGTGTGAGAAGCGGGACTCGCGGTCTCACCATTCGATTGATTTCGTCAATAGCCCGGCCCAAAGCAGTGGCTTGGAAGCCTGTCGTCACCATTCGGCCCATCAGCTGCTCGTAATCGACCACCACCGACCCCGCCCCTCCTGCCTCTTCGAACGTGTATCCGCGCACACGTGGCGCGTCCTTGTCCACGGCACTGGCATCGGATTGCCTCAGAACGTTGTCTCTCGCGCTTTGCGGAGCTTGCTGCGCCATGGCGAGCAACCTCGATAGGCAAGGAAGGTCCTAGAAAATGGAGACGTGTGAAACTCATTGGAGAAAATGCTTCGACGGTAGTTAAGTATAGCGATGGAACACGTCAAGAGACGATCAACCAGTGGTGTGCGAAGGACAGAACAAAGTTATGGTAAGATAATGACCCGGCTGTCGGCCGCAACCCGGCTGTTGGTCAAGATGGCTGAAGGGTCAGATCAGAGCAAGAAAGCACTCTGCTGTACCCGCGGGTGGATCCCAAATGTTTGCCATGACAACTCAATCGAATAGTCAATGCAAGAGCCTCGAGGTTTGGGAAGAACCAGCATTTGCGACAAACAATTTGCGACACACAATTTGCGACAAACAGTTTGAGGGCAACGTGCCTACCTAACAAGCAGCTCATTCACCCGTGTTGCGAAGTCAAGCATCGAGCCTGAAGCTTGAGATTAGAATGGTAACCCGGTCAAATTTCAAGTTATTTGAAGTTTGATACTGTTATGAGTTGTCAAAAGCTTTTATGAGTTGTCAAAGTTGTCAATTGAGTGGAATTGTAAGGAATTTTGAGGCATTCCTTACTGCGTACATCAACACCGCGTACAGCACCAGCCATTGCTCGCCCGTTACTGCTAACGGGGCTTCGCCAACCTTCGCGCGCACTATTCACCAAACCGTGCATTGCTGGCCCGGCCGTGTCGGCCAGGGCCTATTTTATCAGTGTAAATCACACTGCTATACTGATGAGAAGGGTGAAATTTAGGGCCTGCACTGATGTGTTTGGGTAATTTTTTTGGGGAGAAGTGTTACACTGATTTGACAGTGAAACGATTTAGGCCACACTGATGCTCTGGGGTAAATTTTCCCTTAGCGAAGATTACCCTGAAGAGCGTACAGGGACCCCCCCCCCCTCGAAACTCTACTTATCGAGACGAATTTTCCTAGAAATTTCGTAACGATACACTCAATTTCGTAATGATGCACTACGACGCCAGCACGTGAGTACTGACAACCGACACCGCGTCACTCCATGTCTGCTTGCAACCTGCTGTAGAGGCGATGCAACCCGATTGGTCGAATCTGCACTCACTGCAAAAACTTTAACTTTCTTGACTCCGAAATTTGGGACTCGAGGTCCCCAAACCCACGTTCCCCCCGGGAAGCTTGCTGACTCGGCGAAAAAACAAGTGTTGCAGCGAAACCAGACAAGCCACTGCGCTCAACTTTTGAGTTCACAACCCCCACCCACCAGCGCCCAATTTGGGCCTCGAGCTTGGTTGCTGCCAGCACATACTGAGCTGCCTACATTACAATCAGGGTAAAAAATATACCTACACTGATGCCTCTGGGTAAAGTTTTCAAATGTTCAAGTTACACTGATCCATCAGTGTTTCCAAAAAGGGCACACTGCTCAGAAGGGTTTTGAAAAAGGCTACACTGCTAATCGAGAGTAGCCAAAAAACAAACGTAGGCCTTGGTGTCGGCCTATGCTTCGAGACTAGCCCAAACATCGATGACAGCATCGCACTAGCTAGCTCGCACGCACCACGTTACCGGTTGCATGTTCGCACATAAGTATTCGCTCATGCCTTGGCTCATACTTTGTACGTATTTGACACCTTAGTGCAATTCTCGCTACTTTGATCCATTGCACCTGTAACGCTTAGCTATCAGAGCCACTTTCCTTTCGAACCGCGCATTTCCGCAACCAGAGACATCAACTTTTGTTTTTTTTCCACTCGAATGGACTCACACCCCTTAGCACCTAGGAGCCCCTGTCCTCGCGTTCTCGCGTAAACGCGTGCAGCCATGTCTGCGCCTAGCGCTGAGACGAGCCGCCGCCCTTCGATGGCCGAACACATCGACGTCACGAGCCTTACGCAAGAACGCTTGAACGAACTGCTGCAACAGCTGCGCAAAAGTTCCGAAGAAATCGCGGCATTAACGACAGAACGTACGTCGCTGCAAAATGACATCGAAGGGGCGCAACAAGCACAATCACAAACACAAGGCACGCAAACACAAGGAGCACGTCAAGCATCCCAACACGGGAGTGTGGAACAACCCTCGAGCGCGGCTAGTGATGGTGTCGCTCGCAATGACGGAGGCGACGACCACGACACGACACACCCCGGAACGACGAATGCGGCCAGGAGTCAGCCACACGTCACAATTTCAGTGCCGAACGACGAGTCAGCACAGCCGTTGCCGATGACGCTCAAGCCGCAGCACCCGCCTTGCTTCGATCCGAGCCAACGGGGTGGTCCAACGGTTCAGGCGTAGTTGTTCACGATGAATGTTTCCTTCGACGCCAACTATGTCACGGTGGACGCGGCCAAGATTCGATACGCCGTGTCGCTGCTGCGAGGACCTGCCATGGACTGGTGGCGCGTCATCGTCACGAAGCCGACGGATTGCGAGACTCTACCGTCACAGGAAGGACAAACCGGACCCTGGGCATTGTTGTATTTCATGGAGGTAGCACAGTCTCGCACGTGGGACGCGTGGTGCGCAGGTCTGCGCGCGAGATTGGAGCCAATCGCGACTTCGATCGTGGCGCGACAGAAGCTCCGCACTTGGCACCAGCCGGGTTCCGTCCAGGACTACACCAGCGGGTTTCTGGCGCTGTGCGAGCAGGTGGGATATTTGCAGGAGGCAAAACGTATCGACCTCTAGCGGCCTGAAAAAACGAACTCGTCCAAGAAATCCTGCTCCGCAACGTCACCGAATTCAACGAGATTCTCGCTATGGCGGAGAAGCTCAAATTTCTTCGCCGACCAAGACCGGGGTCCTACGGCAACAACATCGGCTAGGGACATCAAACTCGTGAGACGAACGAGCACGCCACGATATGCGCCGTCGCCGCAAATGCTGTTGCAACATTGTTCAAAGAGGGTTGCTTCATGTGCAATAGGCCGATGCACCGTAAGAGCGAATGCCCGGAAAATGCCAAGGGAAAGGGGGAAGTTGAGCAGCAGAAACAGACCAAGCAGCAGAGAAACGCTGGGAGTCAGTAGCACACGGGCCCTCTACTGACAGGTCACGCCGCTCGCCCGACCCAACCGACCCTCACCGAGTGATTGTGCTGGTTCACGCCATCGACCACACCCGGCCGAATAAGGTGGGTACAACGGTAGATAGTCCCATACTGCTTAGCGGGAAAATACAGACAGACTTGGTTAAAATCTTCGTAGACAGGGGGGATAGCCATAGCTTGATCAACACCATGACTGCACGGAGACAGAAACTGACACTAGACAGATGCTTACCTGAGATTGACGCGAGACTGGTCGACGGCATGCCACTGGCGATACTGGAACGCGTGGACCGAGTTCGGATTCGTTGCGGGGGTAGCTTCACGCTTACCGAGGAAATGCTAGCGTCGACCCTCGACGGGACCGATATTTTACTCGACCGTGACTGGTTGCGACTACACAACCCGCGAATCGACTAGACGATGTGAAGAAACAGGAATGAATGATTAGGAAATGACTTGGGTACAAATGTGAAACCCTAGGAAACTGTACCCCATAGTGTCTACCCCACTACAGCCTAGACAGGCTATGTGATTAATGTTTGACACACCCCCATAGGCAAAGTGGGGGAGAACAAGGGGTCACAAGACCAGTCAAGCAAAGCAAAGCAAAGCAAGCTCAGGGTGGATCACAACGTCACCACACATTCCGAGCACAGGTTCAAAGGCCACAAGGCCAGTTCACATGCAGGATCATATATAAAAGGTAAACAAGCAGGTGTAGGTATATATAGATCACAGTACAAGTAAAGTCAAGAGGTAAGCAAGTGAGGCCAGGTAGGCACAAGACCTAGCATAGTACAGAAGCGCTGATGATCACAAGGCTGAAGTGCCTTGGTGAAGATATCAGCAGTGTTGGCCTGAGAGGCCACGTAAGCAAGACGCAGCTGACCACGCTGCTGCAGCTCACGAGCAAGGAAGTAGCGAAGAGCAATGTGCTTCGTTCTGTGCTCCAGTCTGTGCTCCCGACACAAGGCCAGCATGGCCTTGTTGTCTACGTGCAGAACTGGAGGAGAACAAGGCGGCTCACCGAGGTCAGTCAGCAGGTAGGTGAGCCAGCGTAACTCCTGTGCAGCCATGGCCCCTGCGTAGATCTCAGCCTCACAGCTGGAGCTGAGAACAGAAGACGAGCGGGTAGACCGCCACGAAACAGAGCCGGAACCAAGGCTGAAGGTGTAACCCTGTGACGACCGCTGCGTAGCCAGGTCGTCAACCCAAGACGCGTCTGCATGACCAGTGAGGACCACTGGACTCCGCCCTCCAAGCACGAGCCCCATGCCCGATGTACTGCACAAGTAACGCAACACCCTCTTCGCTGCAGCCATGTGCTCAAGTCGGTGTCTCCCAGGAGCAACATAACGTGCCAAGATGCTAAGAGGGTGTGCCAGGTCAGGTCGAGTGCAGGTCATCAGGTACATGAGGCAGCCAACAAGCTCTGGGTACGGGCCACTCGGCTCTACGGACTCATCCGAAGGCAGAGCTGAGAGCGAGTGGCGAGTAGACAGAGGAGTGGCCTGAGGCGAGGAGTACGTGAAGTCGAAGCACTGAAGGACCTGCTGCACCATGTGTGACTGAGTCAGAGTAATGGTGCGCCGTGCTCTGTCCCGGGTGATCTGCAAGCCAAGAGAGCTGCGCAGTTTATCCAGGTCTGTGCACGTGTGTCTCTTCTGCAGCTCGGACTTCACGTGGGCGAGTCCAGCAGTGTCAGCCGTAGCAAACACCAAGTCGTCGACGTACACGAGGATGTAGAACGGCGGCAGCAAAGTGTCGGTGTGAAGAAACAGCGACGGGTCAGCAGTAGAAGGAGCAAACCCAAGAGCCGCAAGCGTAGTCCTCAGTGTGTCGTGCCACTCACGGGGCGCCTGGCGAAGACTGTAGACTGGCCGCCGGAGGCTCCACTGGGTACCAGGAGGAAACGACCCAGTGAAGCCAGGTGGGCGGCGCAGCCATATCTCCTCGTGCAGGCTGCCCT